CACACAAAGCGCACAAGATGTACCGAGGGATCAAGTCCCATGGTATGGTAAGCATTGTCCATTACACTTTGTGTGCTAACCCATGGTCTTCGTGAGAGTTCTTTATGGGGTTAGGTTGCGGTGTGCAAGTTCAAGTGATGTATCATGAAGAGATCAAGTGCTTGAAGCTTGCCGTCCATTGTGGTGACAATGGAGTTGTGAAGATGAGCGGAAGAGTGGCTCACCCATAGTGGAGTATGGGGGAGAAATCAACTAGTCTTCATCGAGCCAACGCAATCAAGAAAGGTGGTCCATCTTGAGGAGGAGTAGATCATCATCATCTAGCTCAAGTGGACTTTGTGCAAGGCAAAGGTTTGCCCTTGATAGGTTTTCTATTTTACCGGTCTCATGGTAGTTGTGGGAGACCGGGTTATAGGATCGATTGCCGTACTATCAAGGGGGGCTCTCGATGAGTTGCTTGATCGTATCGTTCGTAGAGAGCTCAAACCATTGCATCCTTGCATCATCCTTATTGGTTCTTGTTTGGTTCTTCTCCTTGTGAGTTTTGGAGCTTTTGGTCATTTTTATGACAAGCTCCAGTTCATCGAAAACGGAGTTCACATGCGTCTTCTATAATGTTTTCGATGTTGGAGGGTATGCCGGTTCTTCTCTGTTGGAGGTTTCTCTCCTCTCTTGTAAGGCATACCTCCTCTGCCTCTTCTTACTAACCAGTCTCTGTTTTGATGCTACTCGTTGTCTTGTATCCAACAAGCTTGAGTTTTCTCAATTCGGAGCTCATTTGCGGAAGTTATGGCGGTTCTGGTTTTATTGTTACCCCCGTTGTCTTCTCTGCAAAATGAAGGACTGCTAGTGTTGCTGATCTAGGGCATGCGGTAGTACTGCTCTTTGGAGCGGTAGTACCGCAGGCCATTGCGGTAGTACCGCTCTGTTGGAGCAGTACTACCGTGGCCTCAGGCCAGGCGCAGCTGCTCGAGCGGTAGTAGGGGCGGATGTAATTTTTTACATCCGCGCCCTACGCGGTAGTACCGCGCCGTGGGCGCGGTAGTACCGTGGGCTCTGGCCAGGCTCAGCAGCATGAGCGGACGTAGGGGCGGATGTAATTTTTTTACATCCGCGCCCTACGCGGTAGTACCGCTCTTCGTGTGCGGTAGTACCGTGCCAGAGTTTTTGCGCAGGTCCTCCCTCAGCGGAAGTAGGCACGGATGTAATTTATTTCATCCGCGCCCTTCCCAGGCTGAGACTTTCCTGCCTTGCGGTAGTACCGCAAGGGGGAGCGGTAGTACCGCGCAAGCGGTAGTACTGCCCCCTAGTCAGGCAAGTTCCGGCCTGTGCTGCTGTCGCGGTAGTACCGTGGTCCTCCACGGTAGTACCGCGCAGCCTCGCGGTAGTACCGCGCCCCTGGTGCGGTAGTACCGTGTTGTGCGGGCTGAGTGAGGGGATAACGGTTGGATTTTCTCCCCTCCTATAAAAGGGGGTCTTCTTCCCCATTGAGTCTAATCCTTTGAGCTCGTGTTCTTCCCCCATTGTTGACCTTCTTTGAGCTTGCTAACTCTCAATCCCTCCATGGATTCTTGCTAGTTTTTGAGGGAAAAGAGAGAGGAGATCTAGATACACATTTCCACCAATCACTTTCTCCTCTATGTGAGGGGAGCCCCTTGGATCTAGTTCTTGGAGTTCTTGGTGTTCTCCTTCTTGTTCTTCCTCTCATTTTCCTCCCTAGCATTAGTTGCTTCGGTGGGATTTGAGAGAGAAGGACTTGGGCACTCCGTGTGCCCTTGCCATTGCATTTGGTGCATCGGTTTGAGTTCTCCACGTGATACGTGGAAGTTACAAGTTGAGAAGCTTATTATTCTTGGGTGCTTGGTGCCCTTGAGCTTGTTTATCTTGGGTGCTTGGGCCCCCTAGTCGGTTGGTGGTGTTCGGAGCTCAATCATTGTGGTGTAAAGCTCCGGGCAAGCGTCGGGGTCTCCAATTAGGTTGTGGAGATCGCCCCGAGCAATTTGACGGGTACCGGTGACCGCCCCCAAGGGTTGCCAAAGTGTACGGGTTCGGTGACCGCCCCCAAGGGTCGCCATTTGTACGGGTTCGGTGACCGCCCTCAAGGGTCCCTTAGTGGAATCACGGCATCTTGCATTGTGCGAGGGCGTGAGGAGATTACGGTGGCCCTAGTGGCTTCTTGGGGAGCATTGTGCCTCCACACCGCTCCAAACGGAGATTAGCATCCGCAAGGGTGTGAACTTCGGGATACATCATCGTCTCCTCGTGCCTCGGTTATCTCTTACCCGAGCCCTTTACTTATGCACTTTACTTTGTGATAGCCATATTGTTATTTGTCATATATCTTGCTATCACTTTGTTGCTTACCTTGCTTAGCATAAGTTGTTGGTGCACATAGGTGAGCCTAGTTGTTGTAGGTTTTGTGCTTGACAAATTAACCGCTAGGTTTATTCCGCATTTGTTCGAGCCTCTACCGTAATTATTTTAAAACGCCTATTCACCCCCCCCCCCTCTAGGCGACATCCACGATCTTTCACTTTACCAAAGCCTCCCCGTCCAATCATGCATGTTTCAGAGAAATTGTGGGTTGCAAAGGCAATTTCTTCTAATCTTACAAATGGAAATTCTTGATCATGGGGAGAGTTTTCTTCTTCAAATTCATCCGAGATACTCATACCCTCCAGCCTTATATTCTTTTGCATTGTCCCTTTCTTGTTCTTGCCTGCTCCCATAATGTTAAAAGTGACTACATCTCTAATGAGAACATCACAAAAATAAGAAATAATAAAGTTATATTTGACCCCTACCACTATTGATGTTTGTATATTATTCCCTAATTTATGAACTCATGGAACTAGAGGAAATAACCCACGAGGCACATCTACCACCCAGCCACCCACTCCCCTAGAAAAACACAGACACAACCCTCAGTCCATAGATGTTGCTCTGTTTCTCAGCCCCACGATAACCAGTATCTCAGTTATTACGATTGCATGAATATGAAGCGGCACAAAGCGAATGTGGTTTGTCTAACATGTGGAATCCACATTATCCATCACTACACCACCACAAATAGTAGCTAAATCATGCTATAAACCATCTACAAAATTATTTGATCTAGTTTCCATTCATGTGTTAGAGGATTTTGTAATCTAAGGGTATATTGCGGTAGTAGACGATGTAGTCCAAGTTTAGGCGGTGACACATACTCTCTCAAAAAGCGGCCAATATAACCTTCTACTAAACAGAGTTAACTAAACGTACCTTTGAATTTTAACCATGCAAGGGAGATGCATATGAGTACTAGAACACCAGAGCCTACAACTGGAAGCACAATCCTCACTGCATTGCTCTTTATTCTTTTACCTGTGCAACAAATTCATATACAAGAAAAAATGGTTTTATTATTTCTCAGTTGAATGAGAAATAACCCTTTCTAAGTCATGGCGAACAACCATCAAACTTTAGCATGATATTTGTGCAACTACCAGAGGGATGAAAAAATCTTGATCCAGTGGCTGTTGTATTGACCAAGAAATAACTATTTCTAGTGACTAAGTGATGGTCCCAAATGAGTGATAGAACTAGAAACATGTTATTGAAAACAAAACAACTGGTAGAAAGAGGGATAAATGACAAAACCAATATGATAAAGAGGGAGAAACTGAGATCTAGTACCTTTGGTTGCAGCCATGCCTGCACGTCGAAGATAGAGTGTCTCGCCGGTTCGCTCCCCAACCTTTCCCGTATCTATTAACTCTCCAGACCACACCAAGCACCTCGGCACGTGTCCTCCGAACCTGCTGCTGCTCAGGTTGGCGAACGCATATGCCACACAGGAGCAATTGCGGCTACACTCCGCCGCACAGTCCTCATACTTACTCCTCCCTCGAGCAATAAACAAAGACCCATCAGGCGACTTCATCCCCGGCAAGGCCACGAAGCCGTCACTGCACCCTTGCAGTGCCTCCTTCCGTCGGCACCCGGCCGAGTATCTGCCGCTAGTCCACTCCTCCATGCTACTCGGCTCAAAGCCATCGAGACACCTGCATGTTGGCACGGTGGGTGCCTTGGCCGTCTCGTCACAGTAGCCATACGGGCCGCAGTAACTGTAATGGTTGCATTCAGCGGATGGAAACTTTCAGAGGACAACCCATGTTGATGACTTACTGCTCCAGCTTTGGATCTGAAACTCACCATAGTAGGTTAGCACCATCCTGGTGCGTGGGGCGCCGTCGGAGAGGCTATAAGTGACGTATGCCTCATTGTCATTGTTGACATAGGCCAGGTAGATGATAAGATCACTGCTATTTGTGGCCCCAAGTAGTTGTTGCCGTAGGCTCATCACTAGATACCCTGTCCAGGGGGCAGCACGAGATACCGGGTGCTCGCCGTCCCACAAGAATGTCTGGAACGACCTGTTCGTGTCGCTGCCATAGGAGAAGCGCCCCCACGAGGGGTCGCTGGGGCCTCTCCATGATAGCAGGCGCTTGGTGGTGGTACGCGTCCTGTAGTTTATGCCGATCTTCATGCTGGGAAGGAACGTGTCTGTGCGTTGGTCGAAGCTCTGCCACAGGATGGTGCCGTTTGACGATCGGATGACGAAGTTACCGGTGTTTAGAAGCACCGCCGTCGGGGTAGACGAGACCAGACCATTGGTCAGGTTGGCTGTTGTCCAAACGACACGGCTTCCGCCACCACCATCAGAGAGAACCAGATTAGAGCTATTGGTGAGGGAGAGCTTCGGTGTTGAGGAAGTTGTGTTGGTGGCCGGGGTATTTTGGTTGGCGACCCACACAACGGTGAGCTCGGGGATGTTGTTGTACCATACGCCTAGGTACAAGCTGGCCGGAGAAGAATTGGAGGGGTTGAAGAAGCCCAAGGCGAATCCACCATCATCGGAGACGATGGTGTTACCAGGGGACAGCGCCCTGCCGGGGACAAGCCGGTCTTGGGAAGCGCTCAACGGCAGGAAGAGGAGAAGGATCATGACCGTGGTACAGCTGGTGAGAGACGACCAATCCATCGACTGATCAGGCCTAGATCTTAGTACTAGTTATGGTCCAACTAACTAGTTACGATAACTGGGAGCAATTAAGTACTTCCCACAAAACAAAACAAAAACTAGGAGTAAGTACATAATTATACCAGTCCTTGGTCCAGAAGCAAGCGATGCTTTGACGAACGCAGGTGATTGTATAATGCAATGTTCTTGAAATTCTAGCAGCTGAGACTTCACAAATCAGCTGTCAGCGTCGGAGTTGGGATGCCACCGTTATTGCTTACTTGTCAGACTTAGGACTGAAATATTAAGCTATATAGACGGATAGCTTTTGTATATCAACACTTTATTCTGGTCGGACTGCTTCTTGTGCAAATGCAGCAGTGACTGTATGTATATACAAAGTGATCTTCGCGATATTTTTACTAAGGCGAAGTGTCAGCCTTACTCTGTCAAGCGCCTAATTGTATAGCAATCTCCTTTTAAAAATCCTTGCAAGTTCACCCCCTTTTTTTGAAGACAAGATCAACTGTCAATCTGTTTGTCAATCAGACATTGTGTCCATTTGTTGACATGTGAATCCATCTTGTCCACTACTAGAACAGCGTTAATTTCTTGACAAATTGCTGACAGGATCCAGCACTCACGTCAGGTTGATAATGAAAGCGGATGACTGGAAAATGCAAAGCTTGAATTCTGGTTCGACTTGAGAGAGTCTTGGAGTTGACATTTCAGCTGTCCACATACGGTACTTAAAAGCTTAAAATGGCAATGTCGCTGGTGGAACCACAACACATGGCATGGATCCAAACAGTGTCTTTTGAAACAAGATTTAGTAATTATTTTCTTTTCAAACCATGGAGGAGAACAGCATGTGATCAATACGGAGAAATTGGACGCACTTCGTGGGCCGCGATATTATTTTGAACTGTACTTGAAAGAACGGAGTCTATCTGCCAACCTCGTACATATCACTCAAAAATTGGATTCCCACATGTAACATGCATGTATGAGGCTCATTTTGCAAGTACCAAAATGGGACCTCATTTTCCTTTGTGGCTCGAAGGACAGAAGGATATTAGTGAAGTTGACATTACAGATGCAGGCATAGTTGATCTTCTCCCTGATTGGTTTTGGACTGTATTCTCCAATGCTAGATGTATAAATATCTCTTGTAATCAAATAAGGGGCCGGCTACCAGCAACACTGTTATTTATGACTTCTGAACAAATGCTTGAACTCAACTTAAATGGCTTTACAGGTTTGCTGCTACTGCTACCAGAATCGTTGGTGTTCTTAGATATTCCAGGAATTCTCTAGCAGGACCACTTCCCCAAGACTTTGGGACTCCAATGCTGAGAGAGCTTGTATTCTTCGCAAATCATATTAATGTAACAATTCCAGTATATATATGTCAGCTGCAGTATATGAGAGTGTCGGATCTTCCAGAGTGTCGGCCAACTTCCCAGATCTTTCAGAAAATCATATCAATGGAAGCAGGCTGTTGTCGGCTCTGATCTTGCACGACAACAACCTTTCTGGCAAATTCCCTGAATTCTTGCAATACAATCCGATTTTCATGTCACTTCGAATACTAGCGCTAATAAAGCTAACCAGAAGAATACTAGCGCTAACTATATAGCTAACCAAAGTATAGATACTATATGTCGATTGTATGTTGACATGGACCGTTCGTCTTTCTTCTTCTTTCAGATCGAATAGCTAACGGCCTCACTAGATAGGTATATTTCTCCTTGATCGCTTTATTGCCTTTTGAGTTGCATGCAACTTCGACTTAACCGTGCACTCTATATACTTTGCTGCCAGCTACCATATAGGCGAAGTATCATGTGATGTGAAAATGGACAACCAGTGAAAATCTGGAAATTCCATCAGGGGCCATTAGATTGAGAACAAACGACACGGATTGGAGGTGGGATTGTAGCCATCCACTTAAACCCATATTAGCAGATAACCCCCTTCTTTTACCCACTATCATTAGGTCCTTCAACCACAATCAAGATCTTCTTGCCGTGATGGAGATTTGCCCTACAGCGGCCACGAAGCACCCTACGCCGGCCCTAAACCATCTCCCTACACCGGCCATCACTAGTAAAAAAGGGGGGCAAAGGTTCAGACCGGGTCAGCCCATTAGTCTCGGTTCAGTCCAGAACCGGGACCAGTGGGGGCATTAGACCCGGTTCGTGAACCCAGGGGACCGGCCGGGCCACGTGGGCCATTGGTCCCGGTTCGTCTGGACCTTTGGTCTCGGTTGGTGGGACGAACCGGGACCAATGGGCCTCGCTTCTGGCCCACCACCATTGGTCCCGGTTGGTGGCATGAACCGGGACCAAAGGCTCCCCTTTGGTCCCGGTTCATGCCACCAACCGGGACCAATGGTGGTGCCTATATATACCCCCTCGCGTAAGAGCAGAGCATACTGCTCTATTTTTTCTGGCCGAGGGGGAGAGGGCTTGTGGTGCTCTAGCTCACCTTCTATGCACACAAGATGTTCGATGGAATGCCCGAGCCACACTACTTAAGCTTTCTCCTCTCCAAACTTCATTTTCCTTAATATTTGTCTAGGCCAACTTCCCAGATCTTTCAGAAAATCATATCAATGGAAGCAGGCTGTTGTCGGCTCTGATCTTGCACGACAACAACCTTTCTGGCAAATTCCCTGAATTCTTGCAATACAATCCGATTTTCAAATGTCTGTGGCCAAAATATCCTCAAGCGTAAGCTGCTGGTGCTTCACTGAAGAATGAAGACTAGCTTGGGCTTATCTTTTGCCCTGGATCCATGCTTGTATTTCGTGTGTTCTCTAGCATTTCGCTTGTACTCCAGGATCAAGTGCTCTCTTCGACCTTGTATTTGCTGGACCATGAACCGGACTACAGAACCTGCATCCCTTTGTAAGACTGAAAAATTGCCAGATTGTGAAGGAGCCATTGGTACCGTACGGTAAGCATAGTGATGCTTTCTGGGTCAGATCAAGTTGTCCTTCCGCAAACAAACTACCACCGCAGAGCCCTCGGTGTGCTATAGAAAGCTCTGGCTGGGCGCGAGGCCTCAGCATTTCGTCGAACAGCTGCTGGGCAATACCACAAGCCCGGCGCTGCTGGTCAGCCTGACGCGAGGCTGTTCCTGCCACGGCCTCTGCGTCGCTGGATGCCCCGCGAGGACTGCTGCGTCCTCTGCTGATGTCCGCGGGAGGAGAGGCTCTTTTTTTTCAGCCATGGGCCCATGGCGATGTGCTAACGAACGAAACCTACCCTCAGGTAGTACATCGGCCAGTGTCTCCAAAAAAAAGGTAGTACATTGGCCCATGAAGCAGATTCCTTCCGGTGATTTTTCCAAAAAAGTTCTGAATTTCAAAGAACGTTCACAGATTCAAAAAAGTGTTCGCCGGATTCAAGAACAGTTCTTGAATTCAAAAAATGTTTGAGATTTCAGAATAATGCACTTTTTGAATTTTAATGAACCATTCTTATATTTTGATGAAAAACAATTATGAGCGCATTTAAATAATGATGAACATCTTTTGCATATGAGGAAACAATTCTTCGTTCAATGAACATTTTTTGAACTTGATGATCAAAATTTGTATACCAATATTTGTTTTAGAAATATGGAAGAAAGTTTTTTCAATTTGATGAATATTTCTCGAAATTGATGAACAAATTTGAAAATTGATGAATAAATTGAATTCTTATGAACAAAAAATTTAATTCAATGAACATTTCTTTACATTCATGAACATTTTTTGAATTGATGAACACAAAAGTGTTCACAAATTTGAAAAGAAAATTCGCAAAAAAGGTGAAAAAGTAAAGAAGGAAAACAGAAAAGAAAAGAAAAAAAGAAAAAATAACATGAAAATAAAAGAGGAGAAATGGTCGGGCCCAAAAGACCGCCCACCCTCGGCACGGAGTTGTGACCACTCATGCCTCTAAAGAGCGAGGCAAAGGGTAACACTAGGGCGGAGCTCCACCTTTTGTTCTTCCAGCTCGGACTCCTAAACTAGAAACTATATAATAGGCACGAGATGATCAGGTGTGTGCACTAAAGCTCGACATGATTCCTACCTAGCGAAGCACCTAGATGGACCGACCCAACCAGAGTGCTCTTCATTTTCAACGGAAAAAAACAGAGTGCTCTGCTTTCCAATTTTATACCGGCATTTTTCCTGTGTTTTTCTTTTTGGGGGTTTTTGTGCTTTTTCTTTTCCCTTTTTACTTTTTATTATATTTTATTTTCCCTTTCTTCTTATTTATTCTATTTTATTTTTCTTTATTCTGAAATCACAGGTATATTTCCAAACTCGTGAATATTTTAAGGAATCTAAACACATTTTTCACATTTGTGACCAGTGTTTTAATTCCAAGAACTATTTTCAAATTCATAAATGGTTTTTGAAATCCGAAAACAATTTTATAATTTTGTGAACATTTTCTGAAATTGGAGAATAATGTATAAATTTGTAATACTTTTAAAAGCAAGAGATATTTTCAAATACATGAACATTTCTTGTAATTAAAGAACATTTTTTAATTCGTTAATTGACAACAAATTTCAAATTTATAGCAATCTTTTGGAATCCAAGAACTATTTTCAAATTCATAAACATTTTATACATGCAAGAACATTTTCTAAATCTAGAACATTTACTAAAATTCATGAATATTTTCTGAAATTCGTAAAGAATATTAAATATGCAGCCATATTTTTAAATCTTGGAACAGTTTTCAAATTAGTGGAATTATTTTGAAAAAATGGAGGTTTTTTTAAAAATCGCAAACATTCTTGGAAATTCTAGAAAAAAATAAATTTGGGAACATTTTTTTAAATGACAGAACAATTTTCAAATCTGTGTACATTTTTTTTGGTATTCGAGAACACTTTCCAGATTCATAATATTCTTGAAGTTTTGGATCTCAAAAAAAAAGAAAAATGCAAAAATAGAAAAGAAAAAACAAAAGCCAAAATAAGAAACTAAAAACGCCACCCACCTCGCATATGGG